GAACTCAGACTTCAAAACCTGAGGAGGGCGGTTTGGAGACTTATTGGGGGTCACTGTGTAGCAGTTCTCTCTTATCAGTTCTTCCGAAGAGTGTGACTAATTCTGCAACAAAGACACACGCGGGTACGAGCAACTAGCTATCAATCTAGCTAGAGATGCTGAAAAACTCTCGGTCCGACTCATTTTCCAGAATCTACCCAAATAACCAAAGGCAAGATTTTGCTTTGGAATCTCTGTGGTAAGGTAGGGAAATTTTCAGCCCCCCCCCACTTACACACGCATATACATATACATATATATATGACAAAATAAAGAACAAATAGGAAACGTATATCACTCTAACATGTTTCACTTTTATTAAAGTTTCATCAGATATTGAGAGAGAATATATATATATATATATATATATATATATATATATATATATATATATATATACAAAATATTTTTATTCAGTTGATAAAAATCAAAAAAAAAGCACAAATTTTCTATTCGTCCTGCAAGCCGTTAGTGTTATATATATATATATATATATATATATATATATATAAAAACCTCCAATTGAAGTATGCGTAAAAATATTGTTCTTTCCTTGAAAAAGGACATATTATTCTTTAAGGAAAAACAAAAATTATTCTCCAAACATTTTTATCAGTCAACAAAAATTGATTATGCATTTTAGACATTTTCATCATTTTTCTAGTTTCCACTGGGTTCTGAAATATCGCAAGAATGTTTTGACGAAAAGATATTAAAACAAATTCAAAATATTTTGTCCATATTTGTTACATTAAATCCATCTTGGTCAAAATCAGATTCCACCGAGGAATCTGGGGTAACAGATCTCAACAATCAATCGAGACGCTGATGCTGTGGTTCCCGTAATAAGTAGGTTGCTAGCCCCATACCCAAAATGGTTTGAATTCAGAGTTGTCATTCTCCTCGGCTGGTTGCCAACCAAGGCTAAAGAGTCCCGCCAGCTCTTCTGTTTAATCCATAGCTTTCCTAAACTCAACTTTGCGATTTCTCATTCCGAGAATCTATCCAATACACCACCCATTCATTGACAGATGCTGAGTTTCATTTAATCTCCATCATCACCAGTCATATTACCCGATGTGATCGTAGGGTCGTTGCTCAGCTGAACTCCTAACCATTCTCTTCTACACGTCTCGGTATACATTCATACATGCGTAGGGTATCTTGGGCAAAGTAGACCTGGCGGAGCCCCTCCCTTCCTCCCTCTCTCTCTCTCTCTCTCTCTCTCACTCACTTTCTCTCGCTATAGTTAAAGCTGAATTCTTCACTAGAGAGAACCCCAGAATAAAAGCGAATGAAAGTAAAAATAAAAAACAACAGAGGAAATGTTTTAAGTTTTATTGAAAATTCATTACAAAGAAGAATATATACGAGAGTAAGTAAAAAATTAGCAGCGTTTTCGCCACAACATATCATTAAGTTTGTCACACTTCCTTCTTCACATGCGTGCTTATCGTTGTTGTTATTATGCCAGTTTACTTGCTGCTGTTACAGTGTAAACATAACCGCTCTGTTAGTAGTGTGCGCCAAGGAGGAACAAACAGCCATGTTCCGATTTATCTGGTCGGAAGGTGTATCATGGGCTGAAATACACCGGAGGCCTTTTAACACAATACGGCAACAGTGCACTACCGTGTAGAAGCGTGTATGAGTGGATCGAGAAGTTTAAAAGTAGACGGACAAGCGTGACACACGAAGAAGGAGCAGGATGCCCGTCAACCTAGACATATTAATGATGAACCAGCGAGTTATCATCACTGAGGTATCATGCTCTCTGCAGATTCGTATCACTGTTCTTTATTCTTACTTGGAGCACACTGCTAGCTGAGCGGCCATGATTACACTGTAACAATAGCAAGAAAACTACGCGATCAAGCTCAAACTTTGATCACGTGACCACAATAATACCAAATATAAGCACGCATGAGCAGAAGGCAGTGTGACAAACCTAAATTTATGTTATGGCGAAAGTTCTGATCATTTTTGACGCAACTTCGTATATTATTTTTTTTATTTAAATCTTACATAAAGCTAGATAGAGCGACTGCCTCATCTTGTATGCTTCGAATACTGGTAGATAAAATAAAACTTAAGAATATTGTATTATCCAAGCCTCAAGAGAGAAAAAAAATAGCCCTGATATGAAATTTTTTTTTTTAGTTCAAATATATAAAAGTTATATCAGACTATTTTAATATATAAAACTGATTTTAATCGATGTCATCATTTAAATCCTAAAGCGCCTTGAATATCTTGTATAAAATTTGACTAGTTAATTTTTTATTATAGATGGACTGCTTTAATAAGTAAGTTATAGGAAATATTTTAATTTTGTTACTAATTCAAAGTTCACTGGATCAAACACTATATTATAGCTCAGCAGGACACACAGCTAGAAGTGTAGGCACCCAATGAGGATCGAAATCACAAAAGCAGTAACGATTTAAGAGATGAGTATGCTAATCATTGTTTCACACTTTTTTGTACAAAGGTCAATCTTTGTGACCAGACATAATTACTGATTGAGGGAATTGAACGAATAATAATAATAATAATCTCAATGATATAACTGATAAGTATACATTGTTGAAGATGTCAGTGTAAAGTAATAGTTAACGAACTAGGTTGATTACTACTGAGCTGTGAGTTTAGCTTAGGGTATATCAACAACCACTCTAGGCAATCTGGGCAGCCTTTCACACATCGCAAACATAATGTAAGGTTCACGTATCGGACCCCAGGGTGACGCAGATCACACCACAGATTGGTAGAGAATAACTGTCGAATTATTGGAGTGTATAAAATGTTAAGTACTGAAGATTCAAGTTTCGGAATATCATTTAGTCGGCACCAACACTCCATTAGTCGGCACCAACACTCCATTACACATGAATGATTGCCATTATTCGTTGCTTTCCATATTTACATTGACTCGAAATTATCGTCGCGTAACCTATTTATTAGTTTAGTTAACAGGTGGAAAATGCAGGACGTTCATTGGTGACTATGAAGTTTTAGATGTTATTCAAAGTTATAGGTGAATTCAAAGAATCTAAGCTGATTTTTTTGCGTCACGTTTTCCTGTGGAAAGAAATCTCAGGTTGAGTTGTGTCGATATGCAAGACAATGTGTTGAACACATCAGATATTCAAAGGATTACAGTGGTTGTAACAATTTCTACTGTTCTACTGGGGTGGTAAGTATTTATGGGAGAGTGATTTCTTTCAAATGCTTACTACCAGTTCTCTTCTAACAATTCTCCAGTCAGCGTAACATGCTAGTGATTAGACATTTTTCAAGATACTTAGCAGAGTTCAGGGAGAAATGGATTCATGCCTTTCTCAAAGACATTAGTGTTAAGTGAATGCAAGCAGCTCTAGTTGAAATTTGAACTCGTCTAGCAAATTCACTTTTCTGCACATATAAATGTTCCACTATATTGCACCTTTCTTGGTTCTTGTCACATTTGAGCTAACAGTTTGGGCTCCTACAACTAAGACCTGTATTATGGTTGAGTGATTGCCCAAATTCTTCATCCACACACTTTTCCATCAACCATCAACCATCACGGCATGCCTAGTAGCGTGTAACGCCCCCACACACACACATGCAACCACCACCTCGCATAATGAGGTGAAGTGAAGACACTATTTGCTATGGTTAGAAAGCTTTTAGAGATATACTGGGCTATGCGTCTGAAGTTTCCAGTATGCTCCTTAAATTAGTCCTAAGCAACTTAGGGTCGATGATACTGGACATTATCCTGCTGGAATAACCAGTTATGGTGGCAGAGAACTGGACCCAACCCATTACACGTGTACAAACTATTCATCATTATGGAACAACTACCAGCTTTCATAGTAATGATTGAGATGAGCCTCACCTTATCCAGAAACAAATAGACTCATCGGATCCCACCAACCATTTTCAATCTTCCGCAATCCAATTAGCGACGTTACGTCTCTATAAGAGGCACTGTTTTAACAGGGGTACCCTAGTTGGTCTTCTGCTTCCACATTCCATGGAAGTTGAAGAACAGTGAGCTGACCTGTTGCATATGCATCTGGTATCTCCGGCCTTGTATGCGAGTGTGATTTAAACCAGTGTCATTTGTGACAGGTCGAGACGTGTTTGAACAAATTTCAAGCCTACAAAACGAAAATAAAAATATATTGAACGAGGAAAAGACTGGAATTGAACTGATAATATGTCTGTAGCAATATCTAACACGTCCACCATAAGAGAAACTAATATAAAAGATTAGATAATTTCAGTATTTCATAAAATATGAATACCTCCCATAATGTAATAGTTAACAACCTGCTCTTGCAGATCAATTACTAATAAGTCATGTTTTCGATCTTCACTGTTATACTCGTGGTATATTGCCAAATGCATACTATGCTTTTTCATATATTTTTTTTAAATTGGTCAATAATTATAAATTGTGACAATAATATATCCGTAGAAAGAAATTCATTGCAGATCTGCATGTTTTTCGTGTTCTCATTGATAAAAACAGCGTTTAAAATGTTTATGGAAACATTTCGAAAATTCAAGTTCTTTTAACATTTCCTTTCAACAGTATATTCAGAAATATATAAAATTACTAAATCTAATTATAAAGATATTCAAATTTAGCGCTATCTTCTGACAAAGTTGCTTTTTTTTTTTTTTTTTTTTTTTTTTGAACCCTTAACCAGAACTCCTAAGTTAAGCAAAAACTTTCTTTTCTGAATTATCGTTAATGCAACAAAAGTTACTTTCAACGCAAAATGATAAATTTAGAAAAAAAATTTATCTGTTTGCCCAGATTTTGCCTTTCAAAAAAAAAAAAAAAAAAAGAAAAAAGAAAAAAAAAAGAAAAATCGGCTGCTTCCAAAATATTTAATTTAATTTTTTTTTTGTATCCTCAGACTCCACATAACATAGACTGTATTATGTCAGACAAGATCTGGTGGATGTGTCGTTTCAGCAGCAGCAGCAGCAGCAGCAGCCGTAGCCGTCGCGCAGTAGTCAAACAGCATGGTGATAGCGAAAAGCTAGTGCAGCATTGCACTTTTCAGTCCGTCCGACGCAACAGTGAAGTACAGAGCTTTCTCTGTCTGCAGGTACTGTCATTGCTGTGGTTATCGTGTGGTGGTTGGAGTTATCGAAAATTATTAGGAAAAACTTAACGGCAAAGACGCCAACCTTGACACAAGAAGATAACAGTTTCTGGCGTGAGTAAGAGTCTGCGAACGGGTGAGTTCATTAATTAAGAACTCTGTCTCTTTTTTACACACGTATATTTGCTTCGAATTTGTTTAATTCTGTTCTATTTAAATTTTTCTTGATGACATTTTTTCGTGGAGTTTATTTTGCAGGCAAGTTTCGGTAGTTTAAATGAAGTATATTATATTTAACAGTCGAAAATTTAGTTATTAGAAAATTTAATTACTATTAAGAGATAAAATTTCAATCAGTTATACCAATTATATATATATATATATATATATATATATATATATATATATATATATATATATATTATATATTGTGTATTTGGATAGTAATGTCTCATTTATGCAAGTTTCGTTAAAAACGGCTGGCAAGGTGCTGTGGTTAAGTTTTTTTATATAATTTTAATGTGTTCTTATAATTTTTTTTTCCAGGACATAAATTATATAAAAATGTGCGAATGTTTTATATATCCAAGCGCTTTCGGATATACTTTTAGCCATTATCAAGGATGAATTTTATTTTACTTTTAACTCAATATATGGATTGTTTTATGTATGTATCTAGGGTAAAAGGAATGTTTTATTTTCCAAACACGGTCAGCACATTGTGACCGTGTTCATAGGTGATATTATTGAGTGTTGGCTTTTTCTTTTTTATTAGTAATGCTTCCATTATTTTTAGCCTTTTTGTACATGTCGATGATACTATTATATTTGTATTATCAACGAGTATGTTACGGATAGAGTTTAGTAGCCCTTCATGTATATTTAAATGAAACCTAATTGAGATATGGCTAGAGAGATGTAACGTGAGTCTTGTTAAACATGTTGCAGTATATCCAATATAATTATTTATAAATTTGTATTTGTCAGGAACACATTTGCTTAAGGGACATCTGAATTTGTAAATAATATTGGTTGTCTATAATTTAGATCTTGCAGGTGAATTATTCTTTTTCACGATGAAGTTAGCAGTATAAAGATTTTTTATAATAGATAATTAATTTAATTCTTTTTGACAACTGTAGTTATGTATTTCTTTAAAATGTTTCTAAGTGAAATGTTCCTAAGTGAAAATTTATATATATATATATATATATATATATATATATATAGAGAGAGAGAGAGAGGGGGGGGAGAGGGACTGTATGTATGTATATAAGTGTAATATAACATTTTTGGTTCTTACTAAAAACATAAGCTTCCGCGTGACCAAAGTGGTGTTATGGTAATAAAAAAGGCAATATGATTCAACTACGCTTCCTCGGAAACGATCATCGGCTTATATTATATATATATATATATATATATATATATATATATATATATTTATATATAAATTTTATATATATATTTATATATAAATTTTCTGTCACCTAACTTCCGCCTCTCTCTCTCTATATATATATATATATATATATATATATTTATATATAATATTTTCTGTCACTCTAACTTCCGCCTCTCTCTCTCTCTCTCTCTCTATATATATATATATATATATATATATATATATATATATATTCCTGTCTGTCTCATACACACTCCCTCTCTCTATATATATATACATGTGTGATTTTTTTAATATAAGGTGGATTTTTGAGGTGCTAAATTATTTCTATAATATTTTGATGTTATCGCCCTCTCTCTCCCTCTCTTCATATATATATATATAGATAGATATAGATATAGAAAAAGTTGCAAATTAAAAAATAATAATGTTTTTTTTTAAGTATTTATTTATTTATTTATATATATATATATATATATATATATATATATATATATATATATATATATATATATATTTTTTATATTCATTTTCCTGTGTATAAAAGAGAGTGCTCCATTTCAAATAAATTTAAACACGTGCAAATAATATTTTTTCATTATTTATCCATTAACAAAACCTGTTTCGGTGTTCGATTCTCAAAATGGCCGTTTGTTTCACTCTGACGCTCCCCATCTCTATAATTCTTTTTTACATTTTTTCAAAAGAAATGTACTGATAATTCAAAATGATTTCATTCCTTTTTTTCATTAATCCATTAATGTTCTTGATCATATTCTATGGTCCTTTCAGTTTCTTCTCCATATATAGATTTCAATATCTTCCTCTGGCTTTCTTTACCATTTTTATTATGTCCCATTCTTTTACTGGTATTTTCACTTTTCATTTTAGCTCTCAAATGTGTCTTGACAAAATAATTTATTAAAATCCTTTTCCTGTTGCTCCGTATGCAAATCTTCTCAACATAATATCCTCCTTGTTAGTGCACTTAATTCGGTGATTAATATGAATCACATAAATCGAACATTATGCAATGGAAATTTCAGATCAAAATTCTGCTCGGAAATAAGTTTTATGCAACGGACTTTTGATCTACCTTCTTATGCATTGATAACTAAAAATAAATCAAATTTAATTAAGCATAAAATAGACTATCTATAAAACTTTATTTATTTTCATAATTGAATGAAAAACAGTTTTGTCTTCTTTTCGTCAACTGCATTTATAAATATTAATTTTTTTTAGGCAAATCTAACTGAAAGCTAACGAAAAATTCAAGAATAATGTAATTGTTGAAATTGCATGAGCAAAGTTACATGTAGACTTTATTTAAAAAATTTAAACTATTCCAAATATGAAAGACGATTTTGAACCGCGGTCAAGTCCAGACATCGCGGACAAAAAATTTCAATTTATGCAGCTTGACTATGACAAAGACTAAAAAAAATGTTGTCTAATTGATTGTAAAAGACCAAATGTTTGTTCATAGGCTTGAGCATAAGTCATCAAATTTTAAATTTTAAAATTCAACTAACAGATTAATATAGTTCTTTGTTCAAAAAAGAATGCCTTGTTTAACCTTAAAGAATTCACCACGATGAGAAAAAATTTCTAAATGAGTTTAAAGTTGTTCCATTCTCCATGACATTGTTTCTACAGATTAACGCCGTTTCCAGCGCAAACTCAACCGATTTATGTAATTCTAATTGTTTTTTTTTTCCTTTAGTTTAAAAAAAAAATCAATTATAATCTTGATAGTGATTGCATTTCCTTAAATAATAAAACGATCTTTCCTGTAAGAGAAGGGCGGTCATTTATTTACTATCTTTAAAAGCAATTCCATTCATAAAACAAGAAGCAAAGAGCATAGTAGATTGATTAATTCCTTGTAACTGTGTCGTTTAAGGGCAACAGAAACAGTCACTCTCATAGCAAGGTAGCTGGTTGCCAGGGTGGCTTGGATTGGAGCCTAGGGATGGGAATCTTCATGTTGAAAATATGCTGGGATGCATAAACGAGCACTATATATATATATATATATATATGTGTGTGTGTGTGTGTGTGTCTAGCACTATATATATGTGAGTGTGTGTGTGTATGTGTTTGTAAATTATTTTCCTATAGTGTGTATTTGTAAAAAACAAACTGAATAAGAAGAGACGAGACGAAAACTATGCTTAGATTTGCATTTCGTCTTCAGAGGGACTTTATCATTGCCTTGATAAAGTCCTCCAAAGACAAGGACGAAAGACGTCGGCTTGTCTCTTTTATTCACACACACACACACACACACACACACACATATATATATATATATATATATATATATATATATATATATATATATATATAAATTGCTATCTTTTTAAAAAATTTGTTATTTTTATGCAGGAACACAGCATGGTGACTGTCAGTTTCACACCTCAAGCGATAATCACATCATCAGACCATTTCGTTATCACTTGAGGCATGAAGCGGTCGGTCATCATGTGCAGTGTTTACTTCTATGTCCACAATTTCTCTCTCTCTCTCTCTCTCTCTCTCTATATATATATATATATATATATATATATATATATATATATATATATATATATATATATATATAGGAATTTGTAGGTCTGATGAATTGATCGTGATTACAATTCCAATGTAATAAATTATAACCATGGAATATTTGTGTTTGAGATTTATATATATATATATATATATATATATATATATAATCATATGGTATAATTTCTTTTCACGTTTTCTGAGATTTGCATATATCTTTAATAATCCATTCAAGCTTTATTAATTTATTCATCTTAATCTTTCTCCTTTTTCTTGCATGACGGGCAGCGCGTGGTTGTGTTCAGCCTTTGAGGACAGCTGTACCTAACCTTACGGCTGTATCAAGTCGACCCAGTTTGGTTTTCATTAGTCGGATTCTCTCTCTGGATGAATCCCTTTCTGATCCTTTCATCCCCACCCCTGCTCTATTTGTCCTGCTGTAATTATGTCAATATGAATACTTCGGTCTCTGGAATTTGGTTAGCGATAGAAAGTCATTTTTTTTTTGTTTTAATGATTGATCTCTTGACAGTATATTCTATTTAAATCAAATTGAATTAAATAGACGACATTTGGGAAATAGCTTATTAAACATTTAAAATAAATAAAAAAAAAATTATAAGGGAGAAACTACACGTACATTTTATAGAATCAGCTTTAACAACTAAGGAAACAAGTGTTTGCGCATTTCTATGTATGGGTAAGTGTGAGTTGGCCAAGTCATTACTTCGGAAATGCACAAAAAATGATCTGTAATTTTTTTGCTTTTAATAAAACACGGTAGCAAATTTAGGACATGCGCATTGTAATACAATTACAACTTTTAAGAAAACTTATTTTACTCATTCCGCTTTAGCGCTGAAAAGAACGTGCATTTTATTGTGATGGGTGGTTACAAGCGAGAGGGGAGATGGGATGTGCTTGTTTCACTATCACACACACGTCTGATTCTTTCCAATATGCACTGACCCATTTCGATCAAATTATTATTCTTAAAATTTCCAATGTAAAAGCTTTCTAAAGAATTTGATTTATGTAGTTCGATAGATTTGAACTACATGAACCTGCGAGACATTTTTTATTAATGAACAAAAGACATAATTCGGTTCAACTTGGTCTACATGACGACAGAATGAATGTAAGAATAAATTTAAAATTAAAATATAAATTTAGAA